CTTCCTAAAATTTTCAGAATTTTCCTAATGATCATGAATCTTCTCTAAAGTTTTAACAATTCACTAAATTTCTCTAAACTTCTTTGAAATTTATGTAATTTCGCTGCCCTGGAATATCTCTGCTCTGAGGATATCTTTTCTTTTCTGAATGTTATTTAGCTTTTTATCTAGATCATTATCTTTCTTGGAGCTATCGAAACTTTTCTAAAGTGTTTGCAGTTCTCATGAAGCTTGTTTTACTACTCTGAATTTAATTGAACTTATTTCTAAAAAAAAATTAAGCTTCCCTGAACTTCTGGACTTATGTGAAAACCTCAATAATTTTCTTAACATCTCTTAAGTTCTCTAAAAATTTGGGAACTTCTTGAAATTTTCCGCTGGAACTGAACTCCCCTGAAATCCCCCTTGTTTTTGGAGCTTTGCCAAACTTATTTGAAATGCTTCCGAAATGTCCATATAAGTTCCTGAAGTTCTCGGATCTTCCCTTAAGTTCCATAGACTTTTATGAAGTTCTCGAAATGTTTCTGAAGATCTCTGTACTTCTTTGAAGATTTCGAAGTTATTATGAAATTTCAGGAACTTTTTTAAGCTCCCGCAACGAAATAATTAATATAGGTCTATGATTTTCACTGAAGTTCTCTAGATTTGTCAATTTTCGAAACTAATTCATAGCTTCTTCAGTAGTCTAGAGTTTCCTGATGTTTTTAAAACTGCCCAAAATATTTCTCAGTTTCCTTAAAATTCTCTGGACTGCCCTGAATATCTCAGTATTTTTTAAAAGAACCCAATTTTACTGGAATTGATTGAATTGCCTTTAAGTTCAAGAATTTTACTCAAGTTTTATAAAGTTTATAAACGCTCACGGAACTTTGCCTTAAATCACTAATTTTCCCTGGAAAGTCCAAGCCTTAAGTTTTCTATACTTACCTTAATTTCTCTAAATTTATCAAATGTTCCGGTAAGTTTTATAATTCCCTGAATCTTCTCAAGTTTTCAGATCAATCATAGAATTCTCGGAATATCCCATAATTCAAAGTAACTCCTTGTTAGTCGCTGCAAATTTCCTTAAGTTAATGGGATTTTTGTGATGCTATCTGATCGTCCTCAAAGTGCTCGGAACTGCAGTGAATATAACGAAACAATCTTAAATATCTAAATTTCTTGGAAGTTCTCTGGAATTTCTTGGTTGCTAAAAGCTCTTGCATTTTTTTTTAATTAATGGAACTTCGTTGATGTTCTATAATCAATTAATTAATTTAGCTTTATTTAGGAGGCTTTCAGCCTTAGGCTGGTTCGCCTCCACTCTATAATCAACCGATTTTTTTTAGATCTTTCCATGATACAACTCCCTTGAAAAACTCTCACATTTTCCGGATGTTCATGTAATTTTTATTGCGTTCCAGAAATTTTCTCTGAGCAAACCGAAGTTTCCGGATATTCCCGGAAATTTTCTTGAAACTTCTCTAAGGTTTCTGTAATTTCCTTGAAATTTTTTCAACTGCCCTTTAATTCTATGATCTGTCTTGATGTTCTCGGAGCTTCCCTCAAGCTCTCAATTCTAATGAAGACTCGGTTCTGCTTTAAAATAAATGTTATTCTCGTGAACGCCTTTAAACTTCCCTGGAATTCTCTGGATTTCTGTGAAATTTCTGAAATATTTCTTAAATATTTCTAAAATTTCCATGAATTTTCTGAAGGTCTCTGTATTGAATTGCTCGGAACATCTTAAGGGTTTTCGATTTTATTCCAGTAAATCATGGAATTATCCTAAATTTGTCTAAACTCACTCTTCAAGATTTTTTAGCCAATCCAATAGTCTGGGCTAAAATTCTGGAATGGGGACATGATCTCTAGATCTAGTTTTTTTCTGAGATAAATAGAACGTCTTAAAAGTTTCCACAATTTTGCTAGCACGAAACTTCAAGACATTAAATATGTTGTGATCTTAGACTTACTAAAATGAAGTAAAGCTGTTTCTTTAAAACTGATTGTCATGTCTTAAAAACGTTTGCGTTAATTATTGTTGTTGTTTTTCTACAAAAAAAATCATATTTTAACGCATTTCCTAAATAGCTTTCTTATTAGAAACCTGGAAATTATCCGCCAAAGTTATGGAAAACCTGGAAAACTCAGGGATATTTATTTTGCCAAAAGAGTAAACCCTGTAGATAGAGAAAGACTATTAAACGTAAAAAAAAACTCTTTACAAGGTCGTCAACTTCTAATTGTTTAAAAATTAGAACAAAATGTAGGCCTTTCTTACACACAGCAAGAAACATGATCAATCTTGAAGTAAATTCACGTTAAAAAAAAGTTTTAAATAGTGACTGATTAAAAAATGACTTTAGTGACTTGGCCTTAAAAGAGGAGACTTTTTAATGACTTGCTTGAAAAAAGTGACCCAGTCACTAAAAGTGACTCGCTACCAGCCCTGAAATATGTGTGTGCCATTTTTTATCGAATACACCCTTTAGTAGCTTAAGCATCCATGTAAAAGGATGTGAAGAAAACTCATAAATTTTCAATTGTTTTGGTATTATTTGACATCGATTCTGAACGTCATTATTGCTGGAAAATGAAAAAAAATGAGAAATTTCTCTAGCTTGAAAGCTCAACTAGACAACTGGTGCACAGTGTGGATCAGAATTTGTCAGTGAGTCTTTGAAATAACAGACCTTTAATTAGAAATTTTGATTTGCTGTCATATTCTTCATAGAATGTCGCCGTTACTCGTGAAATGAGGACTAAACAAATTAAACGATTTGGCTTATAACGTTTTTATTTATCAGTATACGCTATGCAATTTTCATGGCAAACAGCAGCAAAATATTCAAAATGGTAGTTCAATGTCAAAATACAGTTCTATGTCTTGTTATTTTTATTTAACACAGGTAAATGACAAACTCAAATGAGAATCAGCTTAACTGTCATAATTCAACAACATCAAAATATAGTGTGCTGTCAGACGCACTTTCAATTTTGTATAACAAGTTTGTTATATTAAATGTATTTTGTTTAGCAGATCGCCGCTCCGATTACAGTAAAAAAAAAAACATTATTCCGTTTCCGAAATATAATCAACTCTACATGATTGGAACCTTATTTTGAATGAAATAGAAGCAGAATTATGAATTTTGAAAATTGAATCTTTAATTAACTATATTGAGGTCACCTAATATCAAAACTTTGAATGTTTATTTGAATGTTTATTGAATGCATATTTTTGTATAAAATCTTACCGAGATGATTTTCTAGGCACAATGCATTTGAGGAAACAAAATTTGTTCCGGCGACTACATTACAGAATATGTTCATGTCGCGAAACATTGCTAATTCGGTATACTTTGAATGCAAATCTGTAATAGAATCTTACATTATATTCGTTGTATGAAACATATGCAGAGAATGTATCAAATCCATCCTTACATTGAATGTAAGAGAAATTAGTTTTGAATGCTTTGATTTTTTAATTAATATTTGACGAAGCAAAGGATATGGATTCTGTAGTTTTTGGCCATCATATGTCATTGCATCACATCCGTCGAAAATTATGCATAAACTGCTTTCCGTTAATTGTTCACAGAAGACAGGGCAGTGCAAAAACATGTCTGGTACCTCTATATATGCACTTTGATTAACATTCGAAGTTGAATATTCTGCACAAAAAATACTTTTTAATTCCCACCCCTTTCCCGCCGTTTTTATGAAATAAAAAAGTATCTTTTGTGCAGAGTATGCAACGAAGAAGGGAGTTCGGATGTTAATCTAAATGCATATATAGAGGCACCAATCATGTTTTGCAGTGTCATGTACTCTATTTTGAAGTCTGTGCGAGGGAAATCACAATCGAGGGTCATTAAAACACATGGTATGTACAGAGATTGAGCTCGTGAGAGTGAGAGAATAGTGTGAGAGACAAAGTAGCTTACTCTCTTGGTAGTAAGGTTGAAAGTAAAGTGTATGGGAATTGTTTTATTACTTTTAGAGTTAATTAACAAATACATTTTAAAGTAAAAAATCAAAAAAATCTTTATGGGCATCACATAATTGAACAACATAAAAAAGCTCGTAGTCCTACGTCGTGCTTCGGACGCAACCATTAAGATTTGTTTCTGCTGATTTAAAGTGGCCATTTGTTGACACAAATATTGCTCTCAAGCAATTTTAAAATGTATTGCGATCAGAGAAAAAGGGATAAGTTTTCAACAGAAAAAAAAAGTTATAGAGATATTGTGAGAGATTAAAAAAATTGTATGTGACAATTTAGCTGCCGCTAACTTACAAAAAGTAAAGGCCATTTAGCTCTCGATTCATTTAGCGTAGGCTATATTATCGATATTTTTAGGTATTGATATCCCTATTTCTGTAGGTTTAGGCATTTTTTGCGTTTATATATTTATATAATTATATATTTATATAATTTTGGCCTTATCAAGTTTGTCTTCAATATTGATGTGGGTCGCAATCAGCGAAACTTTGAGAATTGTATGGCCCGAGAAGTAGATAAATCTTGCAAGCCGATAAATTCCATATCCAGATCTGGAATCGAGCCCACCCCTTTCGGAATGGTATGCTGGGCTTCTTTTGACTAGGCACTAGACAATCGTTTTGGCTTCATTCTAGTTAATCATAATCTTTGGATTTTAAGCCTCCACTGAAACTTTACGCCTATTCTATGCTTGATCCTCTAGACCCAGGGAAGTACAGTAATTTTTCGAACCGAAAAATTCCTTGACCGGACTGTAAATTGAACCCGTTCCCTCTTGCATGATCGTGCTTTAATGACCCCCCTTCACTGACTGATCTAAGGCAGAACCCTAGTAAATTTTGTTGAATTCGCTAACACCAAACACAATGCCTTTACTTAAACGATAAATTCCAAACAATTTACTAAACGACCGCCGCTGACAAAATGCAGAAACCCTCGCTGTTCAGTGTAATATCTTGTTCATTATTGTTGCTACCACCATCCCCATCATATGCCTTCCCCGTGTACTCACCTTAAGCTTGCACGGAAACACGGCAATCGTCTTGAATTCCTCGCGCTTGCGTTGCTTAATCTCGTCCCGATAGGCCATGAATTTATCGAACAAATGGTAGATAATGTCCGCCTGGAATATCTTCACGCCCAGACTGTCGGCGAGCTCTTGCGCGTCACGTTCCACCTTGACGTCGAAGGCGAGAATCGTAGCGTACCTGCAACCGAAAGGAACGATATAGAACGTCAATCAGTAAGTTTGTGGTGCAAAACACCCCTTAGCCTCAACAGCTTGGCTATTCCAACCCCGGGAACGATGGAAATCCCGCGAATTAGAACCATATGGGACCAACCGCGGGGACCCGCGCATTGTTGGCGTGCTCATTGATTATCTCAATCGATCATGTCACTTTGTGAATTGGTCTCGTTTACGATGAGTCACCATCATCATCATCATCACCATCACCTCTATGCCGCCCGTCCATAGTGCGCTGGTGTTTAGAGACAAAGTCACCCACGATTGCGCGCCCAGGCACTCACTCAACGGGGAATGCTCGAGCGTTGCATTACTGAAGTATCGCCGACGACACGGCGGCTTTGGGTTCAGTTAGTCAGACAGTCAGTCAGTCAGTCAGTCAGCCATGGTAGGTAAGTATAACGAAAATGCAATAAAATAAAAGTAGATTGACGAAAGACTCCCACAAACAGTTTACCGATGGATACCGCTCCTACACGTTGATTAAATTAAGTATTAGTGTTGAGTTGAGAATTGAATGCACTATATTTTGTAATGTGCCCTGGCTTTGGAATGTGTTGAATAAGATGGGTAGGAAATCGTGATAAATGGCATTACCAGGATTAAAATAAAATTGCTTCTCGAGCTCTTTAGGAATTCCGAAGAATTTAGTTTCTTTAAATTATTTCTAAACCAAATTCTGTGAAATATCTTTTGAAAAAAAAATCGATAATATCTCGTGGTTGCTAAGAGGTATCTATTTCATTTCTTCAGATAAAATGGGCATAATAACAAGTTTTAACAGTGATTCTAAGAATAATTTCACAAAAAAAGAACTTAATACAAAGTTAGAGCACAAATCATTTTTTACTTAGGTACAAACCCTGACTGTGTGATTTTCTTTGGCGACGTTCACAATTTCCAGCAGAATTTTCAGAAGTTTTTTCGGTGTGGAACACCCTTTTATTGTCTATACAGTCATATGGTCATGTTTATAGCTTTTATCAAGTTCAAGTACCGCTCCATGCTCCTGGCTCAATGCTAATGGATCTGCCATAAAACACCACTTCCAGGATGGATTTTTAATGTCGCGCATTTCACTACTTGTAAATGTTCCCGACCTTTCATGAACAAACATATCCAACGGACGTGATTTTCTAGTGCATGTCCTTGTGTAGCGTTGCGTCGTGTATTTGTGCGCCGCTCGTTGGGTTTCCGTCGTAAAAATTAATCGCCGATAATGAATGAGCCACTGATTTGAAGACAGCAAATGGCTTTTTAAAATATTTCAATCGTCTCACTTAAGTGGAGTGGCTGTGCCGTGGAGCTTCGACAGACGACGACGACGACGACGACGATGAGTGATGGGTTATAACTTGTTTCGAGAATTGTGGGTGTTAAAAAATGGTAACCCGCACTCAACGCGGGAAGTGGTTCCCCTTGACTATGTGTGTGTGTGGTTGTGCCCGGTCATTGGGAGCTGTTGGCTGATTGTGGCTTTTTAGATAAAAATGATAAATATTTGCAACGTAAGGAATCCACTAACGTCACCCGATGGGCCGGAGGTGCTGGCTTACTGACGGATGGGGCCATAAACCTGCATCCGGTAAAAACACAAGCGTAGCCTCAATCGTGCGCACATGGTCATAAAAGTGCACTTATCGAGGTTTGTTCTTTGCATGGACGGTAATTACAATCGATAGTTGCGCGTCGTTCCAGCACTTGCACCGGGCCGAGGATTTTCAGCCAGATCCTGCAGTCGGATTTTCAAGTGTTGTCGTTAAACTTGTGGGTGCTTCCGAAAATCCATTTTCGGATTTATTTTATCGCCACGCTCCGTAGAGACTGCGCGACAGATATATCAACGTTTTATAGTTCTTCCATCGGGGAGGTTTTGTCTATTTTAATGGCTTTTCGTTTTTTCGGATGCACTGCTTTGCTGACTGGTGGAAATACCTTGCGTGGGTCATAATTTGAAAAACCAACAAGCAGCTAAACTGGTACACAAAAGTAGATTTCGATCGATACTTACTGATTCTCGTGTTCCAACATGGTTGAGGCCTTCATCACGTCACGTTTCACGACCGGACCGATTCGTATACCGGAGTACTGGAAGAAGAAGAAAATGACCGTTAATCGTTACTGAATCATTGCTGGTTTATTTAATGTGCAGGAGTTGATTGATTTTTCTTTCAAACATAGTCCACCTTTTGCTTAAGCTAGAATGAACATATGTAACGCTGGGATGTTGGGCAAGAATGTTAGGTTTGCAGCAGGGTTGCGTTTGCAGCAAGGTTCGTTTTGGTAAACGATAAACTGAATTGATGTCCTAACGATCATATAACACGAAGGACCTTGAGTTTGAACCCATGGTCTTCTGCTCAGTAAGCAAAAACGTTTGCCACTAGGCAAACAAGCTTCTTTTAACGACCGAGTTGCTGTTATTACCATGTAGTAAATAAAACCTGAGATTAAACTCATGATGTCTGCTCAGTAAGCAAAAACGGTCGCTCTAAGACCACCGAGCCCCTCATATTTATTGCATCATACCGTTACTCGAGTTCAGACCCGGCAAGTTTGCAAAATACACGATAAACAAGCGATTTGACCATAAATTTCTTAAATATGAAAGAATCTGGGACCATATTTTTCTACTTATCAAGCAAGCCACTGTAACCGACGATCTTTCAAATTCGAAAACTAAAAGCTAAGACAAAGTACTTAAGGTGATACTCTAAGGAAGCTTTAGCGTGAAACTTCAAAAGCACAAATGTCAGCTTCCACAAAACATACATTAATGAAATTGATACTCTCTGTTAAGTGGAGCTCAGCAACCAAGGAGTAGCAATTTCATTATTGTATGTTTTGTGGAAGCTGACATTTGTGCTCTTGAAGTTTCACACTAAAGCTTCCTTAGAGTATCACTTTAAGTCTTCATTAAGGCCCACTGTCACGTTACGTTCAATGTTTCGATTTGTTTTTACCAACATCCAACCAACCACTATCGATCTATTTGAATCACAACACATTATAAACATCGAAATTATCTGCAAGCATCAAATTCATGAAACAACTTCTCAAGTCTATTTAAAGCGCAACTTCTAGAATCTACCGTCCGATCATCAGAATTGATTTATTATATTTTATAACATTGTCACAGAAGCCATTTTAAATCCTCAAACAAAAAAGTTGACTATGATTACCAGTTCTCTTGACTTACCTTTTAGGATCTCTGTATCTTTTCTAGATGCTATCTGCCTAAATTCATGAAGATCTCTTAACATGCCCCAGCACACTTACAAAAATTGCTCCTAAAGTACTCTAAATTACCTAATGCAGATCAACGGACTTGTTGTTTAAGTGTTACTGTGGATGGACCGGTCGAATAAAATCCGCTGCACCACAAAGTTGACTATCTACAAGACACTGATAAGACCGATGGTCCTCTACGGCTACGAGACCTGGACTATGCTCGTGGAGAACCAACGCACCTTTAAACGGAGGATGTTACGGATCATCTAGTGCCGATGGAAGACGGAACTGGAGGAGACGAATGAACCACAAATTCCACCAGCTGCTGGGAGAACCATCCATCGTCTACACTGCAAAAAATGGGCGACAACGGTAGGCTGGGCAGGTTGTAAGAATGCCGGACGACAACCCAGTGAAATTGGTTCTCGAAAGCGACCCAATTGGAACGAGAAGAAGAGGCGCGCAGCGGCCAAGGTGGATTGACTAAGGCAACCTGCGGACCTTTGGACAGCTGAGGACATCAAAGCCTTAGACTGATTGGAAACGGTACTATTCTGTATTTGGGAGTGAGGATGGAGAACTTCTGAACTATTTCCAAAAGGTCTAACGGATAATAGGTCGAAAAGACATAAGGTCGAAATCCCAAAACCAATGATTGTATAATAAAGAAGAGTATATTGTATTGATATTTTATAAATTAAAGCACTGCTCACGTATAAAAGAAGGAAAAACCTCTGAAAAGTATGAGATTCTAGTATCCCATCTCGGTTTTTTGAATTCTTTAGAAAGAACTGATCATGTATCAAAGAAGGAAAATAATATAAATATAATATTTTGATTTCTTATCAATTTTTCAAATCCTAAAATTCACAAGTTTCCTAAAGTTCAAAGTGCTTATTTTTAAGCTCAATGTCATAAAAGCAAATTTCGATCACTGTATCTCAAATAATTATCATGATTAAACTTTCAAAGAAGGGTATGATGAATAGATAGTAATTTTAATTATATCATTAAACATTAGAATCTTTACATTAGATTAGAATTTTATTATAACAACAATACAAAATCAATGAAAACAAAAGTTTAAAGAACAAACATAGACAGCTGCTGAAAGAAGGAAAAATAGTATAAAAACATAATTTACTTTTAAGAATTTGTTTGAAATCATGAGTTTCAGAATATTTACATAAGTTTCAGAATATTTACATCAGTTTTTGGCGTATCGACCTTTTTTTCTTTCGACTTTTTGTCTTTCGTATTTTTGTCCTAGCGACCATTTGTCCCTGTTTTTCTAACTGTGATTGCCTGTGCTCCGAACTTATCATACTGAACTTACTGGAGCTGACATATAAGGTGTTTTTAGATAATCCGTAAGGCCTTCAGAGCTAACCCAAAAGACCCCCAGAGCTAAAAGTAGGGCTGGTAGCGATCAATGATGTCAAAAATACTGATTTTAGTGACCATGTTGAATAAAAAAAAAGTGGCCAAATAGTGACTTATAGTTGTAAAAAAAACATAAAAGTGACCTAAGTGAAGAAAAGTAGTCGTTCTGATAGCACACCGAATAAATGTTTGGTGTTTTATTCAATTAATATCTGATACACACTTATGTACGATATGCACCTTTAAAGCGAAAATTTATTACCAAACTCACTGCCAGAGTGTCTCAGGGAATCTCATCATTACTCAGGGAATTTAATAGTTTTCTTACTAAGGAAGTTTGAAAGAAAATAAGACATCTTAAATACAAACATTTAATATTTCTCGATATTCTCATTCACACATGAACTTTATAGATCAAGAGTGGACTAATCTTCAGCAACAAATAAATTTTAAAAACTCAGAGGTTTGAAATTTTGTTTTAATTTGTTTGATTGGTTCTGGAGTATGCATATTACCCACAAATTTTTAATTTCAACAAGTTTTTTTTAAACTCTGGACTTAAAAGTAATAATGCTTCAAGAAATTTTCAAGAATCTAGAGTAAAATTCCATGCACAGTTTAAAGGCTCATGGATTTTTTTTATAATTTCCAAGGGCCTAACTCCAAATCTTTGAGGAAAACAACAAGTGTAATCTGCTTTCATTGTAGTTCTGAGGAATAGAAATAGATAGATAGAGAAAAAGATAATAGATTTCATGTGAAGCCTGAGCTAGTTTTGAGTAGAATTTCAAGAAAAACGTGCATTCAATTCAAACCAGAACTCATGTGAACTTCAGAGGAAAATAACAAGCTAATAATTTCATGAATTTTGTGGGAGAAAACGAATCCGGAGCATAAGTCCTTAGACATTTTGAAGAAATTACGGGCGAGGGGAGGCTAAAAGGATGATTACAATTAAATCTGAGAAGAGGATATCTACAAAGTAATTCGAAAAAAAAAATCCAGTAGGGTTTACCAAACAAACTATGCGGAGAAATATAAGAAATTTGTGAGGAGAAATGCAAATGTATTCCTAGGAGAATTTCAATGTGAGTAGGATTCCAAAGAATTGAGTGAGATTCAAAAGGAAATCTGAAATGAATTCAATAAAAATTCTGATAATCTTTCCAAAGGGTTTCTCACTGAAGAGAGTTTCCAGGTGATTTCGAGGAAAATACAAAGAAAACTGAAAATTTGAAAGAAAAGGAAAATTTCAATGGAATTGTGAGAAGTTTTCTAAGAATATTTTGGTAGCGGTCTCACCCCAGCAGGCCTGGGTTCAATTCCAGTCAGCGCCGCCGGGATGTTCTGAGGCATAATATCTCTGATCACGCCTTCCTTCGGAAGGGAAGTAAAGCCGTTGGTTCCCGGTTCATGAGTTGATGGGTCGATAAGGTAGAGTCCAGGTATGCAAAAATTGGTGCTCAACACAGAAAACAAAATCTACGAAAAACAAACAATGAATTTATTAAGATTTTTCTTAAGTTCATGGAACTGTCTTTAGATTATAGACTTTTTTGGTATTATTAGAAGTGCCCATTTTCTGGAGGATTTCTAAATTTCCTTAAATTACTCTAGACTGCCCAGTATTTCACAGTGTTTTTAATGAGAACCCTCAATTTTACTTAAACCAATTGAATTGCCATAAGTTTCCTTATTTTTCTTTAAGTTTTAAAAACTTTATAAACGCTCACGGAAATTTGCCTTAAGTCACTAATTTTCCCTGAACTTAACTGAACATCCCTGAAGTTCTCAATATTAGTTTAAAGTTCGAAAATTTTATGATACATATTTAGAATTCCCTGACACTCGAGAAGTTTTCCAACAATCATAGAATTATCGGAATATTCCATAATTCCACGAAACTCCGTGTAGCTGCTTCAAGTTTTCTAAAGTTAATGGTATTGTTCTGTAGTAATCTGATCGTCTTCTAAGTACTCGGCACCAGGCATGGAAAATCATTTGCATTCATTTCGTGCATTCATTTACATTCATTTGTCCCTATCTTTTTTATCAACAAAATTCCGCAAAATGATGAATGGAGTTTTTTTAGGTTTTATTATTAGCTACAACTTTTATAACATTTTAAATCCGTATCTCTTATGCATGACGAACCAGAGCGAACAGAAACCACTACTGTTTTTCAGAGAATGTATTTTACATTCACTGAAAAACAGTAACAAGTTCTGTCCGCTCTAATTCGTGATACATAAGAGAAAAAGATTTGAGTTATGGGCAAAAGTTGTAGCTAATAACATAACTTACGAAAGCTCTATACATCATTTTGCGGAATGCTGTTGATGAAAAAAGTTAGAGGCAAATGAATGTAAATGAATGCATGAAATGAATGTAAATGATTTTCCATGCCTTCTCGGCACTTCACTGAATATCATGAAACTATTTATCTAAAAATATCTCAGTTTTTTTAAGATCTC